AGTTGCTATGGTGATGACCTTGTATTTTATACGTCAATGTGTTAACTTTGTCCAATAAGAGATGTTTATTATATAAAAATATTGTATCTCATGATTTTTGCTTGGTCAATGACAAATGTACAGCAATTTTGCTGATTTTGCTTCGTTGCTATGGACGATAAAAATAGTGTTGCTATGCAATTATATCAAAGGTTTCAGGATTTTTTTTACATAATTCTATTCTATAATAATAATAGATAATTCAGATGTTATAAATATTCATTAAACCTATGTAAATGAAGATTATAATAAACGTAAAGCTTCCTGTATACTTAAATTTCATAAATAAAATAGGAAATTTAATTTACATAGCAACGGTTGCTATGGTGATTGAAATTATAGTTTTTCTTAACGCAAGATTCATTTTCGATGATTATCGAATATTTTGAGTAAGTTTTACCAATTGTTGATAATTATTATTCGAGTAATGTTAATTTTTATATAACTATATATAACTAAAACTATAATTTAAAGCGGAAAATTGGCGGCCATTTTGAATGCGTAATTTGGAGGTGTTCCCTCAAATGGATTTTGGGTAATTTTGAGTTCTGAACCTCTCAAGACGTATATTTTCAGAAAATATCAAAATCAGCCGGTAGTACTTCCATTGCCACCTCTACCCCAAAATAGCCTCTAATCTGCTCGCCTAAGAAGGATGACTTTTTCAGCAATTTCTTGTTGCGAAATACCTCAGCTCGTGTGCGGTAGGTGGAGAATTTTATGATAATCGCACGTGGTTTAGTGCGGGATTTGTTGACCTGGCGTACTTTCTTCCGTCCAAGACGGTGTGTACGGTCAATATCGATTAGCTCAACATCATCACAGACACGAGTTGTTATAACATCTAAAGCTAATGTGTCAGTGTAATAGCAGTCAATTACGCCTACTGTACTGTTCAGGATAGTCGATTTTGTCCACCATACATCGATATGCTTATCGTTTTCCTCTTGTAGAGAGGTGATGTCAACCGCTAAAGTCTCGTTGTATAGGGCAACACTGCTATGAATATTACATCTAGATGTGTATAAGAGACAGCCACCATGCATCACTTATTGATCTTATGGACTATTTCGTTTTCGCATATTGATGCAATAATCTTATCCATAAGGTTGGGTGATGATAGTATGTGTTTGCTTATCGTCGTAGCAACAATTCTTACAAGTTCTTTATCGTCAGAGAAGCTGCTTAACATCTCTCATTGAGGACGACGGGTCTGCCGTCAGGCTTGTTGTTGTTCCGAGGTACTGATTTTTACTGGTACGGGTGAAGCAGGCTGGGCGGCAGGCTGAAGTCCATCAATGACCTGGTCAAGAATTGCATCACTTATTGATCTTATGGACTATTTCGTTTTCGCATATTGATGCAATAATCTTATCCATAAGGTTGGGTGATGATAGTATGTGTTTGCTTATCGTCGTAGCAACAATACTTACAAGTTCTTTATCGTCAGAGTAGCTCTTCAGCTTCTCTCAATGACGACGACGGGTCTGCCGTCAGTTTTGTTGTTGTTCCGAGGAACTGGTTTTTACTGGTACGGGTGAAGCAGGCTGGGCGGCAGGTGAAGTCCATCAATGGTCGTACCAACGGAAGACTCAGACAATTTGTCGATGGTTTTCATGCAAGCCCGTTTAGATTTTGAGCTCGATCTGGTCGACATTACTTCTTAAAGTGTTGATGTTTAGTTTTTTGTCTGTCTCTTATACACATCTAGATGTGTATAAGAGACAGTTTGACAACTGTACCTACTACGGACAAGACAACAGTCACAACCACACCATCAGGTGAGGCTTGTTTAACTATTGAAAAACTTGTATTATGAAGAACATGTCGTTTATGATATACTTATGCCAAGGAAACTTGTATTTAAGAACAAAATGATGCTTATGATATAAATATTCCACCAGTTTATCGATTCATTATTTTACAGAGGATTTGACAACTGTACCTACTACAGACAAGACAACAGTCACAACCACACCATCAGGTGAGGCTTGTTTAACTATTGGAAAACTTGTATTATGAAGAACAT